TTGTCCCGAACAAAAGAAAATACCACATTTTCACTTCTTTATTATTATTATTTTTTATTACCTCAGCCATGCGCGTAGGCGGTTGGTAGATCACATGTACATGAGAACATTGCCTACTCATTTTCTCTTGAAGTGCATTTCCCAGTTTTTTCACTTCTGCTTGTTTAACAATCCCAGAACTCAGTGTTTTTTTCTGAGAACCACTTTTGTGAGATTTTTATCCTAAGCAATATACGCCAGATCAAATTAGCAAGATTCCTATTGCATTTAACTGTATACCATCTTGTAATTAAAGTGTTCTGTCCGCCTCAGGCATGGCTCAAAGCGGATCAACGTGCGTAAAGCATAGATATGGAGCAAGTGTAAGCAATGGTGACCTGGGACTAGCGACTGCATTAATCTTGGCTCACGAAAGTGCACACGCGTACGTATACGTAAGCTTAGACCATAGTTTGATAAGAAGTATCACATCTATGAGAATCTATGTGCATGCATGGGAATCAATTGACCAGAAAGTTTTAGAGTAGTCTTCAAATGATTTATTGTAGTCAAAAGCTTGATATAGATCTTATTGCACATGCGCGGAAACAGACTTTAGGACACCGGTCGTCATTTATCGCCGCGGGGGCGAAAAGGGGGGAAGGAATTTTTCTCGTATCATAATAAAATTTACCTGGTCCTCCGATAAGGGTCTCCAATATGCTTATGTTCCTCTTTATTGGCGGTTAAATGGCAGTTAATTTCCTATAGCTCCCTCCTCCCTTATACTCTGTTGGCGACGACGACTGAACTCCCCCCCCCCTCCGTTTTCCGTGAAAGCCGGACCTTTCCCCAGGTGAAAAAGATTGGCTAGTCCTGGAGGTGGTTTCTCTAATGGAAAACTTGATAAAAATCTAAGTGAGACCTTACTTTAAAACTATGATTCCCTCTGCGAAGTTCCTTTTTCCTCTCAGTTAACTTCAGCTGATTGACCCGCAGATAGCAAATGTTATGCAAACATTGAGCTTTGAATGATCGGCCCGGGCTATGATGTCGTAAGCAAACAAAATTCCGGTGATAATGCTCACCTGGGTCTTAGCAGTACGTACTGATGCATTCAGAAACGGGATGAAAGACATGTTCTGGGTGTCTACGCTAACTTTTTACAACAGTAGACGTGAGATGTGAGAGGTAAAGCTGATAGCAATTTTCTAGATTAAAATGACGTCTATTCGGGCTGACAAATCTTGCTTTAGTTTTAAACGACACTTTTCATTGCTTCACTGTTCCTTCAGCCTTGGTGTTGGTCATGACGGTAAGGAAGAAGATTGTCCGGACGACACGTTCATCATGTCCACCACCACAGCAAAGGGGAAAGATGCCTTCAGGTGGTCTCCCTGCAGTAGGGCTACATTGCAGTCGTTCCTAAGGTAACTGTTATCATGATAAAATCCAAGGATGGGGAAAAGAAAAAAGAAGGGGCTTCCAGATGAGGGTTCGGGGAAGTTGTCTAGAAAAAATTCATGTTTTCTAGATAGTGGAGTTGGGGCAATCACAGAGAGAGTAGGGGGCCGAAATGTGAGTATCTGTTCTTCTTGATTATCGTCCAGATTTACCTAATACCGTGTAAAGGATCCATATCTTTGGTTGAAAAATTATGATTTTCAAAACTTTTATTTGTGCAGGTTCTCAAGTATAGACATGCTTTGTACTTCAACGCCGACCGACTCAGAAGAGTAAAACTACTCCTGTATAGTAAAAAGGGAGGAAGTGGATTTCCTTAGACAGGGGGAAGCTTAAAAGACATCTGGGGGCCGTATCTCGAAAGTCCCGGCAACTTAACGGGCCCGTTAAGCTGTTCTGTTTTCATTCAAGATGGGGATTTCAAAAGTTTTGAGAATGATACAATAAAACTATCAGCTAAAGAAACGAAAAGGACTGGTTTATGTGCCAGAACCCGATTTCCTATCTTTAAAATTTGGATTTTAAAACATGACTTCGGGCTTGTTAAGTTACCGGGACTTTCGAGAAACGGGCCCCTGAAGTTTTTGACAGGTGTGCTTACTAGAGAGGAGTATTTTATAGCTTTAATTATAAGTAAGAGAAGTACGCCAAACGGATTGGCACAACAGATCAAACTAAACAAAAGGATTTTGACTTGCAACCCTCCAAAAATGTCCATTTAGTCATGTTTCAGAAAAAACTTGACTTTATAAATGCTGAATTTTTTTTCAAGGGTTTTTTCGCAGTTGGGAAGGGTTTTTCATACCTACATATTTTTTTCCACGCTTGCCTTCCTTCTAGTGGTTCATCTTCGTCTTGTCTGGACGACCACCCTGAAAAACCTGTTTTGGGATCAAGAGCCAATCATAATAAATTACCTGGTCAAGTGTACGACGGCGATGCACAATGCGCACTTCAGTTTGGTGCCAGCTATAAATTGTGTCCAAAGATGAGGGTATGAAGATTTTCATAAACCATAGGGACCAGTCACTGTGTACCACCTGGAGTGGTCGGAGAATTTTTATTTTGTCACGATAAAATCGACCTGATTCTCCATTAATGCTCTGTATTAATTTGATGATCACCCCCCAGTTGGAGGTTTATTGACAGTTTTCTATAGTACTCCTTTTAACGTTTCTGGCTGACTATGATTCCCCCCGTTCCCCCAGAAATGTATGTCATTGCTTAAAAAAAATCCTCTGACCTCCTCACCCAATTTGCGGTTTATTGGCAGTCAGTTTTCCATAGTGTTCCCCTTAATAATCTTTTGGTGATGCTGATCCCCCTCCGTCCCCCCTGAAAAGCATGTGACTCTCCAAAATCCTCCGAACCCACCCCTAGGTGATATATAATGACTGGTTTCTAAGATTTTCAAAAAACCTATAAGCCCGTATTTCAACAAACGGAGTAGATGAAATTCTTCTTAGATGTCTGCTGTCTACATTATTCAAATTAAACATTACTTCTGAAAATTTGATAAAAGTCTGGGAATTATTCTTTGATGATCGCATACTCGATTCTCCTGACCGACTGATATTCTTTGATTTTTTCCACCTTTTGGGTTAGTAAAGTAAAATTTTAGAGCGATTTCTACGGAGTGTCCTCAACCAAAACCTAAAAACACCAAAAACCAGCGCAGGAATTAATATTCAGGGACCAATGGAGATTCAAACGTAAAACATGTAAAATACCTCTAACGTGGGAACCAGCAGGCGACCAAGGGCTATCGGATTTGTTTTTATATCTGATTGGTTGACAGGACGTTGCGAGTCTCTTTGACTAATCACGGAGTGATTCGAGAAAAAACCAACGTATTTAAAAAAGTATCTTTACCCCCGGTTGGAAATTCCCGTAATGCAAATCCAAGCGAAAAACTGATGAGATTTCAGTTTTGAGAGGAAGCTACATAGCATTAGTTTTACTCTATATGCTAAAAGGAAGTGATGCTTTCCCCATTTTAACTTAGAAATGAAAATGTAACAATCATTATTTCGTTTTCTCCAGTCGAATTGCATCTCTTTGTATTGTACAAAGGACGGCGGTACCTCTTGTGTGAGTAGCGTTGTGCAACAGGCAGATGGTTCTAAATGCGGTGATAGACAGGTAAGCAATACTATAAAGTCGCATTTGTGCTAGAATAATTTTCATGACGAAATATCCCCTCTCAAATTTTCCTCTAACTTTATTCTCCCTTTTTTGGGGTGTACCTTCATTTTGGACTAATCGATGTGTCCTTTGATCACAAGTGGTGCATTAAAGGAGAATGTGTTGATGACGGATCGCCGATGACTGACGGAGGGTGGAGTCAGTGGTCAAGCTATGGACAATGTTCATATTCCTGTGGTGGGGGTGCACAGTACAGAACACGAACTTGTACTAATCCCCCGTAAGTATATTTTCTTTTCCGTTTTTCTACTGAAACCTCTTATCCGTTGCAATTTGTGAGCATGCACAGCATTTGATTGAAATATATCCATACGAGGTTTAGTATCTCTCCAGCCGAAAATAAATGATGGCCTTTCCAGTCTGTTCCTATTTGTTGTCTGCTTGTTTATAAGGAGTTAGTCACAATTTATTATGAGTCTTTTCGATAAGACTGAAAAATTACACTCCTGTATGCTTACCGTTTCCGCACAATCGGTTAGTTGAGGGCCAATGTTCATCGCCTCAAGGTGGGGGGCGTCGGTTTCTCTCTCTGTATTTCTATGCCTGACTGTTGTCTGTCCATTCGTACGTTTGTTTGTTTCGCTCACTTTTGTCTCTGTCTTTTTCTATCGTGATAATTTTTCTGGTTATTTTGGTGACGTTCTATGGCAGCCCCCTACTCTTTTTTCTGACTCTTTTTATAGACCCCAAAATGGAGGCATGGATTGCGAAGGGGAGAGTGTAGGACATTGGAGAATATGTAATCCAGAGGTAATGATAATGGTATCAAATATTTTAATGACGATAATAACAATAATGATAAAAATAGTTATAGTAATCAGCATAATTATCATTATTATTATTATTATTATCATAGTTGTCATTACGTTTATGACAGTGTAATGATCCCAAGAGCAATAAAGTATCCAAACGAACAGATTTAACTCAACTAGTTTCATTGCAAACGTAACATGGCCGCCGCTATCAAAAGCACATAGTTTTTCTACTATCCCAACATACTTAGCGGCCTAATACATTACAGACAGGACTGATGATTTATTCAGATAAACTTTAAATTATTAAAACTGACCTAGCTGCATAACCTCATGATCACAGTAATTAGTGATAAATTCCGACATCACGAGACTATTTCAACTAACGAGCGGACCCACCTCGACTAACAAATCTGAACTGATCACAAATCACAAAATGCCGAAAGCAAATGGGTCTTACATGCAGCAACATAACTTATAGATCAGTTTCAACAAAGCACTGACACTAAAAAAAAGGTTCTAACGAAGAGAGATTCTTGCTTGACCTGCATGATAATGATTCCGTTGAAGCTAGCTATGGAAACGTTGGTCAGTGTCGTAGACAAAAGAAGTAAAAACTATATTCTGACTGTAAGATCTGTTATGCCGGGCAGGCTTGTCCAGAGGGAACACCAACCCACCGAGAGGCACAGTGTACCTCTAAATGGTCCGGATCAGCTCCATATGAGTTATCCGGTAAGCATGAAGTATCTAAACATTCAAAGACTATGAAATTTTTATTGCAGATCATTGGAAAATATATGGGCCATTTCGAGGTCTTTCAAGGCCCAAGTATCATGAATAAATCAACCTCAACCTCTCACCTTCTCTTGTAATTGTTTAAATATTGCCATTCTCTTATGTAGTGGCATAACCTGTTCCTTCTAAGCGAAAACCAACAAAGCTACATTATTGAGGAAATGAAAAGCCTATATACCATCTTCGCCAAAACTGAATGGTTTAGACAATTCTCTGGAAGTAGTAATCGTGAAATAAAAGTTTCCCCTACCCTTTTGTGTATTATTTCTGCATGCACATACGTTGTTTGGTTCCGTCATGCAGCACTTTTATTAAAGATCGTGTGTTGCGCAACAAGACTTATAAGGGCTGCGAAAAGGACTACTTTTTCCCTCCAATTTCGATCTTGGCACATGTTCATCGCTAAATCCAATGGAAAAAGTGACGGAGCACTTTATTGGGGAAAGGGGAATGTAAGGAAGTGGTGTTTTCCTGTTTTTCACCTAGTCGGAGATTGTAATGGAGTTTCTCAGTTGATAATCGTGGTATGGGATTTTCCGTAATACATTTATCGATACTGTACAAATCATTAGAAGTTTTTCCTTTGTCTTCTCACGGCAGGTAGACATCCCTGTGAACTGCTCTGTAAGTATGGCCTCAAAGTCCAGCCATTTGGAACAGTAAAAGATGGAACACGATGTCGCCTGGACAGTAAAATTAAAGATGTTTGTATCGAAGGCAAATGCAAGGTTTGTCAGCAATTGCAGAAAGTATGAAAATCGTTCATTTCATTAATTTGGGCTTAGATTTCAGAACGACAAGTTCTCAAGACATTCAAAACAAATAAAATCATACAACATAAAAATGAAATCAATCTTACCATAATTTATATAAAATCATTGAAGTAATCACCACCTATGACAGATCTATTAATAACAAGTAGAAGTACCTACCTGGGTCAATTTTTTTCTCTTCATTGTAGTCCGTTGGCTGTGACAATATCCTGGAATCTGGTGTGAAGTATGATCGCTGTAAAGTTTGTAACGGAGACAGTACAACCTGCAAGAAGGTCTTCGGTAAAGTACTAACGCCTTGTAAAGGTTTGTTGGAAAACGACTGACCGCTTGAATACTTGGTACTTGATTATTGAAACATGTATCCTTATCATCACTTTATGCGATTTGATTGGTTCTCACTTGTGTTCTATTGGTGGCTAGGTGCGAAGATTGCGACCTCAGTAATAAATACATCGTCATATAGCAATGTGAAATGATAAATACAGCTTTAGAATGCCTTTCGTTATTGTTTCTGCTTTTGTTCTATCTTTTAATCCTGCATGGCAGTTATAACTCGGAGCAACAGCCGTGAGCACTAAACTCATCTGAAAACGATCTTGACTCACTAAACCCGTGAAGAAGGTTAGATTAATCATACGCATCGATAGTGGAAGCTAAAGAAATAAAACCTAAAATCAATCCACTTTCTAACATTCATCGGGCGGACTCAACGAACAAATTTTTCAACTGAAAAGTTTATTTCCTCCACAAACAGCAGCGTGAGTTCTGAAAGGCCATATTTGATAATTAATCAGTATTCTTATGATGCCGTCCCAACCACACAAGATTCTCACCTATTCGAAAATTTGCCAGCCAACTCTAACAAGGCTAGAGAGGGGCTATTTTAAGGATCAGGTCCGTTGTGCTTTTCTGATTACTCCGCCTACCCTTATATTAGTAGTCCTAAAGCCTAACAAAATTTCTGGATTTCAATGGTTTAGGAAGTTGCACAGTTTTGGACGTTCCTGTCGGCGCAACAAATATAACGGTCAATGAAGAAGTGGAAGACTGGAATTTTCTAGGTAAGGGTTTTTTCAGTTCGATTGATAAAGTTTTAACTTTCCAGTGGAATCATTTAGACATATAAGTGTAGACTCATATGTACACACACAGACCCTGGAGAGGGAAAACTGAAGTGGGTGACAACTGCAATAAGCGGTAGTTTTAGTTACAGTTTAGGTGGTGGGAATGGTCAGATATTCAGAGTAGTATGGTTGGTAGTACTGCAAGGATTCATGGTATGGAAAGCGAAAAGTCACGGCAGCTATGTGAGTCACTCCTGTGAACAGTTTTGTTTTTTCCTTTTTTTCTTTTCACTTTTCCATTTACGACGTAAGGTGTAAAAGATGGATCTGGAAAAGACGTATACCCGGTGATGTATACATGGAGTACATCTAAACACGCTGCGGGGACTATTGTGTATTATTATCACGAAAAGAACCAGGACGCTGATAGAGTCTTCATTCCTGGACCAACCAATGGACATCTTGAAGTCTACGTAAGATTCCTTTCCTCTAAAAGGTTTTATCTATATATTTCAATGAAACTCTCACGATGAGTTAACCGTCACGATGCCTCAGTGTGTATTGAGTTTGACTGATGAGTGGATCAACTTTTGTTGGTCTACGAAACAGGCTGTATTAAAATCCATATGTGCGTAACTTGACTAGTCCATTTGCTACTACATATATATACATACATATATATATATATGTACATATATAACTGCAGACAGTACCGTTTCGGCCTTCTGGGCCTCATCAGTGCAGCGCTGATGCTAGGATGGGGGAGAACCGATATGGTTACCCCGAACGATCCCACATTTGTGGTATCGTCTAAGCCATGCCAGAGTGCTCAAACTAGGAAAGCCTAGTGAGCTATGCGCAATGCTAGCGGCAATGACTCACCCCACAGTGCTCAATTTGGACATGAAAGCAGAGCTTTGTATGCCAAAGAGCTATATCTAACTGCAGACAGTAC